ACTACTAAGGTTCAACTCGGTCTGATAGTCTCTAGATAATGTCAAAAATGCACAAAACCAAGGCAAAAATAGCATTTTTATGCATAAAACTGTTTGCGGGGCCTCCCTGGCCGAGCGGTATCGCCGGTTCAAATGCTCTGTTAAGCGTGGAGGTAGCGGGTTCGAATCCCGCCGTAACCCTGGATGTATTCTTTGTGATGTCTTTCTCTGAATTGTTCTATCTGTATTTTCTACTTGACAATGACTTATAAGCCTATATTGAGCACACAAGTCAGCAAATGTATGTAGTTTCAATAAATCATTAAAACTGTTTGCAACCTTTTAATTGTTCGATCTTCGATTGAATCGTGCATAGTCTCATTCGATTCAGCGTAAAATATTACGCAGGAGCGATACTTCAATCATTTAGATACTTCTATATCAGATGCCTAAGTACAAATTTGTACATAAAACCCAAATAATTTCTAAACTATTTAGTCACATCTTCTTAGGATTGGTACCATTCAATTCGGAAGGAAAAAATTCTCATTAATAACGTCTCTTTTGCCTGTCTCAAATGCATAACTGAAAAACTTAGTAAAATGTAATCAAACTTTAAATTTTTGGAAATTAGAAAATCATCGGTGAATGTCTCATTCAACTTAGGACAGAAAATATTTAATATTGCACCCAGAGGATAAATAGTATGATCTTTGTTGTCTATTTTCTATTCCATCACAAACAAAAACAATTTTAAATTTGAATAAAGTAAGACCTTTATTAGTTTTTATAGTTGAACTGAAAATGAAGCCTTGTGTGTTCTAATCATCCTTTGGATACCGAGAAATTGGTAATTCAAGATTAGCATTATCTGTATCTTGTTTAAGGCTTAGGATTTTTTTAGGATAATTTCACTTGATCAATTTTAAGTTTCATGCTTCCTTTGCGCAGTCTTATATACTTTAAAATCAATATAATAATACTGATTTTAATTTAAAATGTCCAAGCAATTGCTAAATTGAAAAAAAGAAACAATAAAAATACTTTTCAAAAATTAATCAGCTCCAAATGCTCTATTTTTTAATTTTTCTGATTTTTATCACGGAAAACATATGTAGGTAGAACAATACTTTCACCAAAATTTTAATTTAATATTAAATAGCTTTTTTCGAGTTATAAAACCTTCGGGATACAGTAATCAAAATCACAATTTTTATTATTTTATACGGTCTTTTAAACTATAATGATAGTTTCTTTTAATTTATGATTTCATTTTCATTCATAGCATGGAGCTAATAAGAAAATTGTTTTTTATCAATTTTCAAATTCATCACTTTCAGTTTTAAAAAGTTATTTTTATTTATTAATATTTAGCCCAATTAATAAATCCATTAAAAATTAATTTTGAAGCATTTTTTGGAACTTTTTATAACCGGAAGATTTATACTAAAAAATTAATAAATTTGCAAAAGTCATATTATCATGAAGGTATGACCAAATGAAACATTTTCGAGAACTTATATTAAAAGTTCGCCCTGGACTAACTAGAATTCAGGAGACATCTTATATGAACGTTGATTACAAAGTTAACGCTTTTAGTGTAATTTTCCCATCTAAAAACTCATTTAATATGGATCTCTTAAAATGTAAAGCCACAGCTACCATTAGATACTCTATAATTCAACTTATTCATAAGGTTCCCTGCAATTTTGAGAAATTGCACCTGAAATTATTAATTGTAACAAAAGTTTGTTTAGAAGATGTAAACAAAAATTCCTAACTCATGTTGACATCCAATTCTTAAAAAAAGTTTATCACTTTGTCCTACTTTATAAGAAATTTTTCAAATGGTTTTTAAGTATATATTTTGCTTTATTTTAGCATCGCAATTTTTTATAAATATAATAAAATATAAAACTTTTTACATTCAAATGTCAAATTTTACGGAAAAAGCACAGAAAGCGGCTTAACTGAACTAAATATGATTGTTATTTCAATAACAGAGATTTACCGCTTTCATGGAACAACCCGCATGCTCACGGTCTCCTTTTCCAGATAGTGCAGTCATGACAAATAATCTTTGCTCTTTACAGTGCTTGCGCATTACGTAAGTAAGTGATCGTGCAGGAGGCTTTGTGAAAATGCTAAGGCTTTCTATTTAGTACGGTGCGAGAAAAATAAGTACCACCTTAGTACACGTGATATTTTAAATTACGAAATACACAAAAAGGTTCTCTCTCTGAATAAACATATCCTTTATTCGAAGGATTCGGATTTCTGAGCCCCTCAAAATATAGGGGAGTAGCCGCACTCTGGGAAATCAGCTCCCAATAATAGTCAGCAGAAAGGTCTAAAGTTTGCACACCTTAATGTTAATTTTATTTTTTGCGTATTTCGTCAAATCTCGAGAACTTTTGAAGCGAATTTAAAAAATTTTGCACACAATTATAAAATTTGTTTATGTAAAAATAATTCCACATAAAAAATAACTTTGATAAGATTTCAGCTAGGCAGTTGTAAAATCCAAATATCTTCCTTTAACTTGGAATTTTTTTTTTTTTGTAAATGAGAACTAGTTAAAACATTTTGATTCCACCAAAGGTTTCTACCATGTTTTAAACTTTTAAAATGTTCCAGATTGCAGCGAACTTGATTCACTCATGTTATATCATTTAGCAGTGTAGTGCAACTTATAAATTTAATACTTTTTTTGCTCCCCGCTGCAGAATACTATTGTTTATTAGCAGTGAGACTTAATAAATAATAACAGTTTAATGAGTAATTCATTACACAGCAGGGACTCCAGAGTTTTCTTTTAGCAGTAAATTAACAATAAACGAATTTAGTTTTATTTCTTCCCTCCACATGATGCCGTTTCAAACAGATTCTAATTGTCGATTGAAACAAATGGCAAATTTTGCTAAACAGACGAAAAGATAAAATGTTTGTACGACAAAACATTTAACCCTAGACTCTGTCAAACAGCAGAACAGTTCTACTATATTATTTATCATAAATCTGATTCAAAAATTAAAAATTTGTATTATCGTGATAAAGACAGATTCAGTAAAAGCTAGTAGTGTTTAAATAAAAGAGCTGCTTCACTCTATGTCGCTACTTGTAAATTGCTTTGAACTGTACTTGTAAAATAATAATTGCACTAAATAATTCTAGGCATATTTGGCGCTTTCTAAAAGGGCTAACTGGGGCCACTAGTAAATAATAGAGAGTTATGAGGCTATAAATAATGCTAGCTTAGTCCTACAAGAATTAAAAAAAATAAATAGTTATGTACTCTTTTGAAATGACACATGCATGCGCCAAAAACTTACTTTCGCTCAAATTTGGAACTAGAGTCCCAATAGTTAAGTTATCAAAGTGGTGGTAAGGTTGGACCCCTTTATGTTAGTTTTGTTTCCTCTTACCATGCCTCAAGAACTTTTTAAGTGAATAGAATATTTGTACACAATTATAAAATTTGCTTATTTGCCCGGTGGCTGAGCGGTAGCGCTTCGCGCTGTCGTGCCACAGGTCCCTGGTTCGATCCTCGGGCCGGCGAGGTTGACTCAGCCTTTCATCCCTTCATTGGGTCGATAAATGAGTACCAAGCATGCTTGGGAACTAAACACTGGGGGTTTCGCATTCGGCTGACCACCTGACCGGAGCATCTGCCCCTGCACCCCAGAGCCCAAGAAAACTGAGATGGGCACAGTAGGCCTTGGCCCTCTTAGGCTGTCGCGGCGCTGAGTTTAGTTTATTTGAAAATAATTCCATGCAAAAAATAACTTTTAGCAAATATTAAAGGTTTCAGAATATAATACTTTTCATTTAAATATAAAATGCTTTAGGTATTAAATTTTGAGCTTGCCAAACAATTATTTGAATACAATTTGTCTTAAGTTAGTGAAGACGATAGTTTAAGTTACAAAATCAGACACAAAAATTTACTTTTTCTCAATAAAAATGCTTTTTTTTCAACAGATTTGGATCCTTCATCTTAACATATGAGGGTTAGCTGCAAAATTTGGAAATAGAGTCCCAATAATTGAGTTATCAAAGTGGGTGAAAGTTCGAACCATTAATATTAATTTCTGCATATTTTATTATGTCTCATACTTTTAAAATTAATTTATTCAAAGTTCATAATTTAACGCAAATTTTTTTAAAATAATTATTTATAATTTATTTGAAAATAGTCGAAAAAGTTTTTGAAATGTAAGGAATAAAACTGTTTACTTCATTTTAAAGAATGTAATTTTAAGAGGCAAAATACTAAATTTAAACAAAGTTGGTCATTAGTTCCTGAGAAATTGAATTTTAAATGTATGATTTAATTTAGAAAGGTACTACTTAAAATTATTTTTTGAATCTGAATGTTTACATTGTAAAAGAAAGATTTGTTGTACAAAAAACTGATGAGATTGTAATATTGAATTAAACACATTTTATTACTTAAGGTACTCAAACATATATTTGCCTCATTTCGTAAATTTAATAGCATAATTTAGTTTAAACACCAATTTTATACTGAGCAATAATTTATATTGTACTACTTTAAACCAACTCTGAACAAAATCTCAAAAAAATAATAGTACGAAATAAAATTGTTTACAAGCTCAACAACTGTTCATAATTGAGTTATCTAATAAATCTCTTAGCATAAAATAAACTGATTTCACAAATGTTTCATTGCTCAATTTAATAAAACCATATGACTTAATCTAAAATTAAGGAACATCGGTATACTGACTTATTTAAAGAGTGAAATATTTTTAATTTAAATTATCAGTGTTATTTGTATGACTTAAGCAATTGATTCATTCACACATCAAATAATTTAAATTTTTATTTTACTTTTATTAAGGCATTTTTTTGTTAATTTATTGCCTTTACCTGTGAGCAAATTGTATTTTTTAATGCAACTATAATAGAATCTGATAATATGAATGGGACATTTTATCCGAGATATCTATGTTAAATCTAAATTTTAATGTTTAAATATTATAATAAATAAGTTTCACTAAGTTAAAAAAAAGTATATTTTGAGCAGTTATAAATAAGATTTTAGAAAAGTATGTACAACAGGTATTTAAGTAGCAATGAAACAGAGTCAGTGTTTCAAAAATAATTTACAGAATGTATCACTAAAGTTGAATTGTACAATGAATTGATGAGCTAATCTATAGTAAATGTTAATATCCACGCAGTCCATTATATATTTTTGTCTTTTTGTCTTCTTTAAATATTTCTTTAATTTCTGAAAGAAAGAAAATACAAATTTACTAACACGAAATTTAATAAACAGAAAAAAATACAATATAAAATAGAGATTTCAAAGCTGTAGGCAAAAAATATTCTAATGTGCTTGAAACAATACTAATTATTTTTTGCCATGAAACTTCCCTTTCTTTAAATTTTAAGGATAAATGAAAAGTTTTTTAATTATGTAAAGAGAAGCTATGTTATATTTAACAAACATTGTGACAGCTTCAAGGTAATAAAATCAAACAGAAGTATGAACTAAGTCTGATGACAAAAAAGTATGGAACCTACGTTAATCTGAAGATACCCCTAAGAAGCATTAGAACTTTAAACAACCACATACTTAGGTAGCATGACTGTATCAATTATTGCAATTAAAATATTACATTTCACTATTTCATACAAAAAACATATGAAGTAAATCATGACAAATATAAGACATCAAAAAAATTTCGATACAAATAATTTTAAAAATAATAAAAATAAGTAATTTTTTAAAATAAAAATAACTGTAACAACTGACAACCTAACACAATTAAGATTAGCAGTAACATCAATAAGTTTGTTTAGTTTTAAAAAATACAAAAAGAAGCACATCAAAATTTATGTCAAAAAACATTTAATGCAAAAACTATTTATTCACAACAAGAGGGCAATTTGATAAGTCCATGTCTTTGAAACATAAAAACCAATATACATACCAAAATGCACTTTAATTTTTGACATAATCTTTCATAATGATATGTTTCCAACAATGTTCTAAATTTTTTAATTCTTCTAAAAATTAAGATTTCTGAAACTCATCAAAATAGCCATTAATGATCTCAGAATTTAAAAAATAACTCTTTCTAATAAGCCATTTTTTTGTTTTAAATCTGGAGAGAGAAAAAATTACTGGCGGCTAAGTCAGGAGAGTAGAGTGAATGAGACAGTATTCAACTAATTTAGTGACTGCCATTGCAGACAAGTGAACTTGTTCTGACAAATGGGGCCACTTTTCATTCAATTTTTCATTAAAATAGTCTAATAAATCAGCATATACTGTTCAGTAATCCTTTTTTCCTTTTCCAGATAGTCAATGACTATTATATCCTTTGAGTTCTAGAAAACTGAAGCAATAATCTTTCTGATTGATGGAACTGTTTCTGTCTTCTTCGGAGCAATTAATTAGAAAGAAACCACTGTTTAAACAGTTCTTTCATTTCTGGTGCATAGTATTGCATCTATATTTCATCAGTTGTAACATAACACAACAAAAAATCTCTTGTACTCAAACTTGTCTAAACAAGTCTGCTTTTGATCCACTGTCAGAAATCGCAGCACACATCTTGCAGATAACTTTAAATACATGTTCATTTGATATGTTTACCTTCTTCATGTACTTTACCACAGTGGTCTTCTAGCACAATATAATAGAATTTGTTGATTAGTTCTGCAGTCGTGACCTCAATTGAATGTCTAGAATGCTCTGCATCTGTTCTGCTCATACAGCCAAAATGAATTTCAGTGAACCAATTGTACACCATGTGATAGAGCAGATTTCCCATTATATTTGTTTAACTTACCTCCGGTTTTGGTAATTGTTCTTTACAAACAATAAATTTATCGATAGAAGGAATTCTTTCTTTCTCCATAATCAAAACAAACAGTTTAACTGTTTGCTTTTGAATCCAATAGAACAAAAATTATTTAAAATATCATCTGCAAATTTTACAAATGTTGCCACAGATAAGTTAAACACATGATAAAAGTATGATCAGAACGCCACCTCTTTTTAAACCATGCAGGGTCCGAAAGCTTAATATGTACTGAGATGGAAAAGAGCAAAAACTGGTACAAAAGGCATTTTTTCAAGAAACATTAAATTTTTGAAACTACCGAGATTTTTTTAACAATTATAGCATATATATAAAATTGCTTCTGTACAGAGAAAAGGTAGATGTTGTTGAATAATTTAAAGAAGAAAATAGATTTACTCCTCCCAAAAACAAGTTAAAACTGAAATGGTTTACCAACCAGCTTCTCCATTTCGCTTTCACCCATGAAGCCATGGACTTAACAAACTACCCTCGTAATCTACGGAAGTTCTATCTGATTGTTAAATAAGTGTTAACTTTTAAAATTAACAAAATTAAATTAAAACCACATGTCAAAACAAGGAAAATTTATTAGCAGAAAAATACAAACACATTAATTTTAGTCTTACAGAGGAACCTGCTTAAGAAGTTCCTGCTTAAAAAGTTTTCCCAAGTAAGAAGTTATTTTTTTAACAAAAATCAAATGTTAAATTTACCAATGTTAAATTTATCTTTATAAGAAGTTTTCATAAGTTTCTAATTTTTTTTCATTTTTTTGTACTTTATATTTAAAATGTCTTATCTAGTTTACCTTTCTCTTCCAGAAACAGGTACATGAAGTATGGGAAATTAACAAAGACCACTGACCTTTCCTGCTCCACCATTACACAAGAAAAGCTGATTTATCGGGAACAGGTGTGAACAAAGGAATGTAAACTCTTAGATGAACAATGAAACTTATAAGAATGTAAGAAATGGCTAGGATTGAGGATAAGGTAAAAATTTTGAAAGCTGTTGGCAGCTATTCTCAATTAACAAGGGTTCAAATAGCGAAAAATTTAAATCTTCCCGTTGCTATTTCAAATGGCATTATTCTTTTGCAATAAACTTTTTTGAGAACAAATATAAAGTTACAAAAATATGCAATTGACAAATATTAGATGCCTTTCATATCTTCATTATTTGTAATGAGCTTACTGTCAGAATGTATTTGTATGAAATATTTTTTTTTTTTTTTTTTTTTTTTTTTTTTTTTTTTTTTTTTTTTTTTTTTNTTTTTTTTTTTTGCTGCTTAGAATATATAAAGACATTACATTTTATAATTATGAAGTAAATTAAAGCTACAAACACCATAAATATAGTAAGAAATTTTTGAGGGTTTTAAAATAATTCTTTGTGCATGATTTTTTTAGCCTCAAACTATCACTTTATCACTTTTTATGCAGGAAGGCAACAAGATTAAATCATTGAATTTAATAAATGACATAAAAATATAATTTTGCTTCATCTATACATGGGTACTTACTTTCTTTTTGTTCGGATGTAAGTTCGCCTTTAGGGAAGTCAACATCAAATGTAATATAAAGTGTTCCTTTTAAATTATTATTTTCATAATTAGGCATCCCTTCATTTTTCTTTCGGATGCGAGCACCAGGAAATGTTATTTTATCTCTTGTGACTTCAACCTACAAAAAAATTACATTTAATATTCAATTAACATAGATACTATTTTGTATATTTAAGAAATTTTTCTTAGTGATAGCAACATTTAGGTGTGAAACTACACAAACATGCCTTAGTCTTTTTTCTTTGTTGAGTAGGAGCAAACAAAATATTTTCAGAAGAAAGGCTGTTCTCATAACATGCTGAATTGATCTTTAAATCTTAAATTTAAAGTTATATTTTATATTTGTTTGCCAACTTAGACAAATCAATAATTCAAATATATACATATAAGACATATTAGCTAGGCTTTAAGTGTGGATGAAAGTAGTTTGATTTTTAGAAATTTTTTTTTCTTTTACTTTTAGTATTACATTACTACTTGTAAAATCTTTCCCAACAATGCACAAGCTTGAAGCTATGAAGTAACAATATTTTAAATCCGAAGATGAAACACCCACAAGTAAAATTAGAAAGCGTAACTTATTTAAAAATTAAAATTATCTGAGTTGCTAAATGTACAATTAAATAAAAAGAGTGCTAGAAACTGAGCTCGGCACTAGTAACATTACTTACTAATAGTAACAAAAACAAATAAGGGGTAAGGTAATTAAGGAGCCTAAGGGTTATTGAACTTTTATTTACCTAAAGATTCACTTTTAGGGACATTGTAGGAAGAAAACCCAAAAGGAAAAATAAATAAATAAATAAAAAGTCACTAAAACTAAAATTACTTTAAACAAATTATACCCCAGAGATATTACTAGTTAAGAAAGTACCCATTGTATGAAAATATCTAGAAATAAATTCTTATTAAAATAAGCAAATAAAAATGGTTTATTAAATAATATGAGAACAATAAAGCTTTTTCTGAATAAAAAATATTATATACCATGAAACAGGTTTTTAAAAACTGAGGTAAAATTTTAAGGCATGCAAATAATTTTAAATCCAAAGAGAAAATTTTCAATTTACTTACTTTGTGACCATCTAGATGAGGAATTTCTAGAGTAAAACCTGTTAGTGCATCAGTAAGAGAAATTGTTATATTTGTGTATAAATCATCTCCCCTACGTTCAAATAAGGGGTGCCTAGAAAAAAAAAAATAATAATTGTAAATGAGCAGAATGAAAAAAAATTTTTAACATAATTTTAAAAATAATAGATTCACTATTTTTAAAGCAGCAACTTATTTACAAATATATCTAACAGAAATGATCAGTGCTATATTAAAATGTTTTGCTTTCCAGTGCCAGAAGAGCATGGTCATATTTACCCAGCAAAGAAAACTGTATGAGTTGTGCATGTGTGTGTGTGTATTTGCATGGGCGGTTTATGTAAATTTTAATGCCGGTTTTAATTTCATAATTTTCTAATCATATTTTAATGTAATAATTTTTTTAAATAAATATACAATTATTTTAAACTTCGCGCAGCATACCATTTATTTCCAACATATGTTTATGCAATAATTGTCTAATTTAGATGTCATTATTGATCCCTTTTAAGACAGTTTATTTTCCTTATCCTATAACTTATCTTCACTGCATTTCTTTTCTTTCTTTTGGTGTCAATGAAATAAAGCTTTGACTACCATGTCAGTCGAGCATTACAGATATTGAACAAGTTAATTATGCTTTTTGAATTGCAAAAAAAAAAAAAAAAATGTCCCAGAAACTCTCAAAATATTGAAGTTATAATGTGTGATAATGTGATGAGTTACTAGATTATTACCAATTGTTATGAACAATGTAAATAAAAGGTGTAAAAAGTCTGCTGAAAGCTTTAAGGTAAAGATGACTTTTACACCCCAGACTCAATAAGCAAAAAAAGATTCATTTAACATAGAGACGAACTATTTTAGAACCCTTCAAAGAATTAATCCAAAATTCGGAAATCATGTACAAAAGAAAAAATAGGCATCTTCCTTCATTAAGATAGATGACAGGATATACAGGGTAATTATAACTAAAGTTGAAATTTTAAAATGCTATAAAAAAGAAATCCTGATCAGAACAACAAATTTGAGCGGAATATTATTGAAAAAGATGGAAAAAGTATGGCTTAAGAAAAAATAGTTCAGAATTCTAGCAACAGATGGTATTGTAAACATCGTAATTTAAAAGAATTTGACTACAACTGGCAAAGAAACTATAAATCAACAACTAAGGTGCAAGTTACCAGCTAAACTCACAAGTTACACGTACAGTTTAGAGTGCATGACTGCAGAGATGATAGTGTTAGCTGCGTAAACCCTTCCACCATAATGATATCATATCCCCTGTCAAATCAGTTTTTAATTATCCTGAGCCCAAAACTGCATAAAAAGCATCAATCAAATATGTTTTTAATTATTCAACTCTGTTCACCATTTTCTGAAACAAGTTGAATTCGAGATATTGCATGTTCCATAACTGATCGGAGTGTTTCCAAGACCACACCAACAATCTGTCACACAAATGTGTGCCTATAATTCAGTTAAGTTTGCAATCTAAGCACAGAACACATCTACCAAATAGTCCCCCAACCCGAAGTCGCAAGGATTAAAATCGGGTGATCAGGACGGCTGAGCTGTAGGGAAATGACGGCTATTCAAGCAATATTCGAAATGCTACTGCATTGAATTAGCAATGTGCAGAGAAGTTATCTCTTATATAAAAATGATCCTATTCACACATCCACGCTGTTGAAGAACTGAAATGATGTGGTTGCCCAAAAGAGAATCATAGTGCTTACCTTCATCCCCTAGAAAAACTATGGCCCCACGATAAAAAATGCCATAAACTCGCACCACACAATGAAATTTGCAGAATGAGGTAGCCCTGATTAATTTGCAAGTAGATTTTCTATTGCAAGCAATTCTGGTTTGATTCAGCAATTCTGTGTATTGAGATATCCTTTCAGATTGAAATCATCATCTGTCCAGAAAATACTCCACTGCGATTCATTGTCCTCACTTATGTGAACAAATGTCTTTCTTGCAAACAGGTCAACAAGAAGCAATTCAAACACATAGGCAATTTTGTATAAATAGCAAATGCAAGGTATTTAGTAGAATTGTACGTACGATGCTCACAGGCATGTCTGATGTGCATTAAATTCCCAGTGTCTGGCACAGTTGCACACCACTACTAGACTTCTCCTGCACTGCTGTGGCAACTTTTACTGATTTTGAATTAACTCTTTTCTTTCCTTTACCAGATTGCACATCAAAAGAACATGTATTTTCAAATTTCGGATTCATTTTCTCCAGACCCATGGCAGTCATTGGACTTCTGTTTCTTTTGATACCCTTCAATGTCGGGAAACAGAGCTACTGGTACCCAGTCATTGTTAATGCAAAAAAAGCTTTGCGAGCAAAGCATGAACCTTCATTGACGCAGTCATGACAAACATCTCAAGTGTGAAGTGAGGAAACAGTGTACCTTGCGTTTTTATATCAACTGTAATGAGTCGTGCGCATATAATTTAAAGCCTAATCAATTCCTAAAATTTGGAATTATTTTTTTTCTTATGCAATTTTTTTTCTTAAATAATATTCCATTCAAATTTTACGTCATGAGTAGTGAATCTTTTTTTTAATAAAGTTTTGAAACTCAAACTTTAATTGCAATAACCTCGTACTTTGCTTTCCATAAGCTTCTCCCCTAACTTAATTCCCCTTGCCAGTTATCTAGAGCACTGTCAAATGTCGGTAACTTATACTGTTTATATGATCACACACAAAAACATTCTTATTATTCTAACCTAATGTGAAAAATGAAGAAAGTCATTAAAAGTATTCAATTAACTTTACAAAATAGCTAATTATTTTATATCAAGCTATATCATTGCAAAATAAATGCTTTTGGGTTAGCTATGCTCCCAATTTTCTAAATACAGTCACGATTTTAAGTTTGGATAATTGAGAATATACTGCAATCTTTTTTCATATAGCAATATATATATATATATATATATACGTGNTATTTGCAGTGTAATAAAAAAAGGCTATTTACGGTAATGTTTGGATACGAATCCTTAAATCACCAGGCTCTCCATCAATGTGTGGTTCACCTTTAAATAGAAATAACAAAAATTAAACTCATGTAACAGAAAATTGTTTAAGTAAAAGTAAAGCATTTTATATACCATTTTATAAACAGAGATTTATTATAATAATATACATTAAGGATTAGAAGTATATTTCACTTATAGCCTATGATTTCCCCAAAAATATAAGCAAATGATAGTTAAATATTCTCATAAATTGAATTCAATTTCAAAACATTTTCTAAATCCAAATATTAATCATTAGTGCATAGTTTTTACTAGATTAGTTCTTTTAAAAGCCCAACTCTTAAAATGATTCAATAATATATCATAAGCTACTTTAATTCACTTTATCTTATTTAATATAAATTTATTTTATAATTAGTATATACTTTTATGTAAAATATTAGTTACTAATTTAACAACAATTCCAATAAAAATTTGTGTTCTAATTGAAAACAAAGAAAACATTAGTAAAATAAATAAAAAATTTGGACATAATTATTTTTATTTCATTTTTTTATTTTCAAGGTAAGTATTTTGGTAGATACTTTATTTATGTTGCACTGGAGCTACACAATGGGCTATTGGCAACAGCCTGGGAAACATTCCTGAGAATGATTCAAAGACATGCCATCGCAAGTGAGACCACTTCCTCAATTTAGACATAGATCTGATCTTACTGTCAATTAAAAGAACTTCAATTTCAATGTCTAAAGCTTTTTCCTCATTTACAAATCTAAAACAAAACACTGCAACTTAAGTTTCTTAGTTAGTTACTAATTAAATAACATTTTCATTAAAAATTTGTGATTTTTTTTCAGCAGTTATAAAGTGTATACTATCGAAATTCTATCAATACTTCTACCTATAAAATGAAATTTAATATTGATTTGTAAAATTACTTAATGAAATAAAGACCATATTCCAACCATATTATAATAGTATATATTATAATAGCTTATCAAAACCACATAATAACAGCTGTTGAGAACCAAGAATAGTAGGTTGGCATAAATGTGCACTGACTGTTCTTTATATTTAAAACAATCGAAAAATGTTATTCTCTCCTTTTAGTCATACTTTATGATTAATAAATATTTCTGCTTCATCTTCTATATTTTAGGCAAATAACTGGGTTCAACTTTAATATATGAAGATCTCCGTTCTTGCCAAATGTGGGAAAAAGATCTATCTTGTTCTCAAATTCATACCTGGACAACATGAAGTTGCAAGAACTGTCCATTTGACAAGATCTTGTCAAGTCCTCTGCAACTGGTCTTTCCTTTAGAAACAGACAGGGGTGGGGAGGATGTAGAGAAACAAAAATAATAGGTTTGCATAAACATGCACTGACTGTTCTTTACTTTTAAAACAACCAAAAAATAAGTTATTTTTTTCTTTTTGTCATAGCTTATGCTTAAGAAATACTTGTGTTCTGTCTTCTATATTTCTGTCTAATAACAGAGTTCAACCTTAATCGCTTTTCAAATAAAATATTAAAATAGTTCTAGAGTTAATCTTTCCTTTGAAACAGTGTCTTTACCAGGGCTCGAAAAAACTCAGAAATTTTACCCGTCCCCGAGGACGGGGCTTGTCCAACAATGTACCCGTCCTCCTTTGAAACTAACCCGTCGCTTTTAAATAAATAGAAATATAATTTTCTCTTATTTATTACTAACAATTATATAAATTGCGCAATGAATTAGTAGTTACTAGGATTACAAATACTAGAATAACATTATACAGTAATAAAAGAAATACTAGGTTACTAATAGCAAAACCTAGTATTTCTTTATTGAAATAATTTATTTCTTTAATGAAATATTTTAAATAACAAAGGTCAAGTTATCTGTCAATTTATCCGATGGTACTGCGTTTTTTAAATGAATCAAATACGACGTTTGCCAGTTCCACAATCAAGCCAATGATTTACAGAGGTTTCTGCACAGCAATCTGAAGGAGGTTTTTCATTTAGGTAGATGTTCATAATTGCGGTTGACGCTTCTTGTTTAAGACCAGTACGTAATGTGTTTTTTTGTAAGCACATTGCTGAAAAGCCCCCTTCAACCGCTGCAGTACTCCCAGACAGAGAAAACACCAATTCCACCATGCGCAGTATGTTGCTGTATTTTGAGATTAGAGGGTCATTTTAGAAGTGAGGAGCTAGACTCTTGTAAGATAACAAAAATTGAAAATACATCACGAACATTAACGGGAAAATGGCCGTCCGCGCGGACGTTGGATTCGAGAAATTTGTTTTCCGCGGGGAGTTTTTGACCGCCGCGGACGGGCTTTTTTTCGAGCCCTGGTTTTTACATAAGATAGAATAACATGCAGTTAATTATTAATTCATATTATTAGGATGCAACATTAATTAAAAAATTCAATTTCTAAATTTTTTTTTCATTTACAAATTTAAAACAAAAGAATGCAACTCAAGTTTCTCAGTTACTAATTTAATAACATTTCAAAAAAAAATTATGTTGTAATTGAAGAGTCAAAGAAAACATAAGTAAAATAACAAAAATCAGACAATTAATATTAATTTATTTATTTTTAAGGTAAGTACATTAGGCAGGTACTTTATTTATTTTGCACTACAGCTGGGCAATTGGCTATGGCCTGAGAAACATTCTTAAGAATGACCCGAAGACATATAAGCACAATATGCGAGACCACTTTCTCAATTTAGACATAGATCTGAAGGGGAAGGAAATTTTTTCCAGATTCTTGCATTTATGGTACTGCTCAATGACTGCAACAGGACTTTCGGCTCTGCATATTTTACAAGCATGTGTATCGTATATATTCGGAGGGACTTCGCGAAGTCGAAGATCACACCTTCCGGACATGAGTCAGATTCTCTAATTACTGGGCTACCATGGCCCGATTTATTTTAAAATAATTCAGTAATCCCCTATATTAACAGAATTTTCATGGCTAACAGAAGTTTCCACGACCTCAGAAACCAACTCAAATCCAAGTTCATCAGTATGAAGACAAAGTTAAACATCTACAAAACTTTAATCAGGCCTATAGTTACGTATGGAAGTGAGTGCTGGACCCTAAACAAAACAGAGGAAAAACTGCTAATTTTTTAAAGAAAAATTTTGAGGAAAATCTTTGGATCTCTTCAAGAGAATAACATAAGGAGAATTCTTTACAATTTACAAAAAATATGACAAATTCGGTAGGACCGACATTGTGAGAACTATTAAAGCATCACGCATTAGGTGGCTGGGCCACCTCTTCAGAAATTCTGATTCCGTCCCTGCCAAAAATGTTACTTTTTCCACAATTGAAGGGACGAGACGTAGGGGACGACTACCTACAAGATGGATAGACGACATTGAAAAGGACCTCAAGCTATTGGGAGTCAACCGATGGAGGGCCGTCGCACCGGACAGGGCCAGATGGAGGAAAATCTGAGAGTCAGCCTTGGCCTGTGAAAGGCTGTTGCGCTTATGAAGAAGAAGAATCCTCTATATATTTTGCTAGTTTGGGTCAGCCTTTTCAATCATAACTTTTTTTCAAAAAAATTAAGTTCTATTTTAATAACTGAACAAAGAGAAATTTCATGTTTTCCTCTAGGCACAAAGATTTTATTTCAGATTAACCCAATAAAATTATGCATAATCAAATTTCATCAATTTGCTCAAAATGAAGATCACCTTACCTTCAGCAACAAACCTCTGCTCTTGACCATCTTTCATACCTTGCTCAATTTCAATTTCTAAAATTTTTTCTTCATTTACGAACCTAAAACAAAAGACTGCAACTTAAGATTCTCAGAAAAATATTTTTCCATTTAATATTTTGATAAAAAATGAATAAACAATTCCAAAGTTGTTAAGAATATTTTCACAGAATCAAGATTGAAAAAAGTTTTACCATATGCAAATAACTTGATGGGAAAATGTGAAATGCACTTCTAAGAAAAAATATTGAACTTATATCTCTAATAAATGTCAGAAAAATATGTCCCTGTTTTTCAGCATAAGTTAGATTTGATTGTACAAATTTTTAAAACCAAATTTCGAGATGAGTGACTTCATGCATCTTTGAACCAATGAAAATTGTTATAACATCTGCTGTTTGTGATTTAAAAATCTTGAAAATTTTTTTAGATCTTTTTTGTTTTCTAAAGATTTAAAAAATTCAATTTGGAAATGTTAAAAAAAAAAAATGTGCCCATAATTAAACAATTTTACCAATTGTTAAAAATATTAAAATATCTAAATATTTTCATAACAATCAATAAAATTGTTCAGATCTTTATAAAAACCTAAATATGTCTTAATTTGAATGAAACTACATTGCATGAGGTTTTATGAACTATAAAATTTTATTGATCCTTTTATTTGAAGTGCATGTGCACTAAAAGAAATATGAGAGCATTTTGATTCCTAATAGTAAAAAGAACAACCAGAATTTGAAAGTACAAAAAACAATTAATGTTAAAATTACATATAATAATTCATTATTTTGCAATTGAGAATATTACCTTAATATACTCAATTAATAAAGGTACATTATAAAAAGAGAAAAAAAACATTCTGAATAAAAAATTTAAAAAAATATTGCTCTGATAATGATTGATGATGAATTTAACAATAATTTCGAAATAACAAATACTTACTAAAAATATCAATCAGTAAACAATCTCTAAAATTAAAAACCCAAAATTTTGTTTATTTGGTTTTAATACCTCTTTAATGAAATGTTTAAAGTTTCACTAATTTCCAAACAAAAACACAGCAAAACAATTTTATGCAGAATTAATTAATTGTGGATAATGCGTCGACTCATTACTTGAATATTTTAGAGTTATTGAATCATTAATTGGGTTCAAATCTAATGAATAAAAATGTGAATCTAATAAGTTTCCAAGATTACATAAGTCTTAATAATTTGCTTTTCAAGAATCAGCAGTAAAAAAATATCTATCCTACAAGATTTGTTGTACTTTGGCTTCAAATAAAAGACAGTTGAATGACAATTATAAGAATAGTTTTTTTCTTTTTTTGATATTATAATTTTGTAATAATTAAGCTACTTATGTATAAGTTTTCCAGGGCTTAATGACACTAAATTTGGAGGATATTTTCTAGAAGAAAGTACTGGGCATATATTGATTAAATATTTTTGATACATACTGAGATCAGCAATGTCATACTCTCTCATGTCTGATAAATTATCTACCATCCGTTGAAAATTAAAAATTAAAGGAGTACGGAGTTAAAAATTAGCTATGGATTGAATTTTTTCTTCAAGAAAGTAGAGTGAAAGTTCAAAAATTTATATTTGTTGAACAAATAAAAACTGTATACTTACTTAACATTGGGACATTCATCACAGATTGTTTGCTGAGTCATTTGAAATCTACCAGGCCCCAACTGTCTAGTGACCATTTCTTGTCGACAATTGCATTGTCTTGTACCTTTAGCAGGCTTAGTAACAGGTTTATTTCGAACAACCTATAATTAAAAAAAAAAAACAATTTAAGAAATTATGCATAATTAAAAATGCAATTCAGATGACCAACTAATTATTAAATATAGTCACAAAGAGTATTACACAACACACAAAACAGCAATTTTATAATTTGGTCCATAATAAAAATGTCTTTAAAAAAAAAAAAGCACTTTTAACAAGTAAAATTTTTACCAACATTGTTAACAGCTCTTTTAAGGTAAAAATTCACAAAATTAGTTCTACAAAGCAAGCATCTATAGCTAATGTCTCTAACCATACCTCTACATTAAGAGATCTAAAACTTCAACTGTAAATACCTCATATAAAAAAATAGTAAAAAGTATGCAGCGCCGATTAAAAAAAAAAACACACACACATTTTTAACATAATTTATAATCTAATTCTTACCTCCACAAAATTTCCTGAATATAGTTCTTCTAATGTGACCCATAAGTCCATGATTATATCTCCTCCTCGAGGAATTTCTCTTTGGCCATTTCTACTTCCTCCCCCACCAGTGAAAAAACCGAAATCTCCAAAGAAACTACAGTAGTAATAGTAAAATAATATATATAAAACATAAGATACAACAATTAAATACAGTGAGACTATCCTTAACATTAATAGTAACACCAGAACACAGCCATGTACTTAATTCTTTCCCACACAACCCACTTACAGTTACAGCCAGAAACTTTATTTGAAGGAAGAAAATTACAATAAAGCTATTATAATATTACACACAATATAGGAAAAGTCCTGAATTAATATGAAACATACATGGAAATAAAGCTTAAAAATTATTATATGACAATCCTATAGACATTATTAAAGTAGATATAATATTTTATTTGGCATTAAGCTGATTTCATACATAATAACAACACATTTGTATAAAATGTTAAAATTATTTTTCACAGGTAGAATTTGAAAATGTATAATAAAATATGTGTTTGTAAGTTTGATACTTACACAATTAAATTATCCACACCAATAATAAAAGAGTTATTAGCCTTCGCTTAACTTTAGTTGAAGGAAAAAACAGTAATATTGTATGAAAGTTTATACTTAGGAACAAAAATATAAAAAGAATATGTAATTAAAACACTACTATGAATAAAAAATTCTCTACATACTGGCTTATTTACAGACTTTGCATAAAAATCCAATAGCCATTTATTGTTTTTGCCACAATTTTTAAAAACACATAAATTAGTTTATCCATTCACAATTGCACATTACTAATTTATTAAGGTTAAAACTGCACTTCAATAATTTCAAAGGTACAAATTTGCTTTCAAAAACTTTTCGAAGCAAATTAGTGCTCTTGAAAAAAAATTTTGGCTGTCAAATACTTTAATGCTAAAAACTAAAATAAACATATTTAATTCAATGGTAAGGACTGTACTATTTCATGGGTCAGAAAAACTGAAAGTAACAAAACTTTAGAGTATAAAGCTAATTAGTTGGTAAAACAGATATTTGGGAAATATTCTAATAATATTCTGGCCTCAGACTATTGGAAATTCAGAACTCTACAGTAAAACTAGGCAATAACAAATCACCATCAGCATAAAAAGATAAAAAATAGATAGGACACATGTTAAGAATGCCTCTTACAAGAATGTCATCAGTAGCCTTAATGTGGGTACCAAAAGGCAAACAAAAAAGAGGCAGATCCATAGAGAAGAAAGACAGATGGGATGGATGAGCTAGTCTGAGGCAAGATCTTGTGTAAAAGACAGCGTAAACTGACGCAAGTAAATAAGGACCTTAGGTGACACCAGGCAAGAAAGTAGGATAATCTTTCTAAAAAAAATATTTAAGGAGAACCCCAAAAGCCCAAATCAGAACCTTGTTATCTGTGCAAGCATATGCACATAGCCATTTACTCAGCTTAATCAATTTTACAAGAATACTTTTAACCTAGCGCAATAGATCCCCATAACACAAAATAATAGTCATTATATCTGAGAGATCACCTTTTTTAGGGTTCACATTTATTACTTATAGAGAGAGGAAAATAGAGTCAGAAATTTAGAAGAAAAATCAGAAATGATTAATTTAGCAGAAGAATTTTGGTCATAAACATGACAAAAAATAAATGTTTACAAAAAATTACTATGAAACTATTTATTCTATAGGAAGTGTCCTTCTTGATTTTTAACAAAAGACTACATATCAATTGAGCGAGATTGCCTCAATAACCAATTAACATAATCATCAGCACAAAAAAGTCTAAAAATGATAATGCATAAAATGATTTTGAAATTTTGAACCTTTAAGAAATTGTTTGCTGTAAAATAAGTTTTTTTTTTAAATTTATTTATTTTAACTATCATATTATCTTGAAATATTATGTACCGTATTTTTCGGCGAAAGCGCCGCTTCGTCACAAGCGCCGCACCTCGATAAAAATGAGTTTTTTAAAAAAAAAGTTATAGTAAGCGCCGCTCCGGCGCAAGCGCCGCAATGGCGCTGAACCGCGTATATCAGCATCCTTTCAGAAGAGACCTTTAAATTACCATTTAGAATATCTGTATAATAAAAAATTAAATTTTTTTATGCATTTCATAAAATAAAGTTTTAATTTCTAAATTATAATAAAAAATTTCTTTTTCAGCAAAAAAAAACAACAAAAAAAGTTTTCTCTTTCAGCAAAAAAAAAGAAAAGAAAACAACAAAACTATATAAAATAAAGTTGTTCTTACTAGTTGGCACCGCGCCAAAAAACAGAAGAACAGCAAAAAAATATTTATATGTTCAGTAGCTGAATTAAGGCTGAACTGATTACAGGAATCCGTAAAACAATGCAATAAGAAAAATAAAATAAAAATTTATTAAAAGAAAGATTTTAAAATAAAAAGATTTTAAAATTTATTACCGTTAACAATTTGAGGAAAAACTAATACATAATAACGAAACAGCTAATAATAACGAAATAACTAATAATAACAAGAATAAGAAATAACTAAGCAGGCCCCAAAAAAATTCTGAAGGAATGAGCGAACGGGAAATAAGTTTCACTTTCACAATCTTTGAGGGTGGAATTTTAGTGGGTAGAATGCCCTCTCCTTCAATGGAAATAACCCAATGTGACTCAATATTTAAAAGGGGTTGGGGAAAAGAACAGGGTATGGGACCCCTAATCCAGCATTCTAAAATTTGGCACTTAATCTGATCTAATTTTTTTTTTTAATTTTTTTTTTAAGAAATTTATATTGATAAGACAAAAAAAATCAGCTATATTCTTTTTATTTGGAATTTTATTCTGTTGAAGTAACTTACTTTATTTTATCTTTTAAAAATAAAAAAGAAGCTTGAAAAAAAAAAATAAATCTGTGTCAAAGGAAACATCTGTTTCTAAAGCAGTTTAAAATAAAGTGAGAAGTAAAAACACCTGCATTTCCAATGAACAAAATAAAGAAATGGAAGTTGGAAAAAACTGATCAATCAATCTTGACAGCTGTGCTTGTGCTTTACTGATTTGCCCCCAAATTTCCCTCCTCTGTTTGACCATAAATTGGCCACACCCAGTTGACATTGAAACTACCATGTGGACAACAAAATGAATTCTATCCCTTTTGCGGTTTTTTATTCGATTCATAATTTTTTTTTTATTTTGCCGCTTTTTATTTTTTCTTGTTAATTGTTGCTTGCTTGTTTTTTTTTATCGTTATTAGTTTTTAGCTTGTTTTTTGTTGTTATTCATTGTTAGTTTCTTAGCATTAATTGTTTAAAAAAATTTTTTTTTGTAGTTCCCTGTTAGCTTTTTTTTTTTTTCTTGCGAGGTAAGCGTCTTTTGTTAAAACAAAATGTTATCTAAAAGAAAAAACGAGAACTATGATCTCGCTCCAAAGAAGAAACGATTATTTCTTCTTCATAGGATTCTGATTATTTCTTCTTGATTATATTATATAGATTATTATTTTGATTAGTAAAATTTCTCTTAAGATGGGCCAGTTTTAAATTCACGATCGAAATTTGACTCAATTTATTGGTTTTTCTGAAATTAACAGTGGAATTGAATTATAGTAATATTTGGGGGCCATATTGGAATTTCCGAAAGAGATCCGAAGTTCGGCATTTCGCCAGTCCCGCAAGTGTCGGGTTTAGGGTCCTTTTCTGTTCGCTTAAATTACTATTGCCAAGGCGCTAAATAGATTTCTAGCTTGCGATTTTTCCTTAAGCTGGGGGTGGATACAAGATGCATACCTTTTAAATTTTCTCCTTATGCGATGTTTTTTTTAAAATTATTATTTCGTTTATTTATTTTCTTACAGGCTGCTGCCGAAAGTTTGCTAAGAATTGGCGATGTTCTGCAGCAGATCGCAATACGGACGAATATTTCGTCGACTTCGTTATTAATTTTTTTTAATAGTCTTTTCTCTCAGAAAATTATTTAATCTTAAATAACTTTCCTTGACAAATTTTTTTGGTACAAAAAAATATTTCGTCGGAAGCGCCGCTGCATCGGAAGCGCCGCATGTAGGAAAAAAACAACTTTTTTTTCGATAGCGCCGCGGCTCTTCCGCCGAAAAATACGGTAATAAGGTAAATTTTTGTTTCATGAAAAACAGAATGAGGTCAATAAAAAGTAGAATGAAAAATTCTAATTTTTCAATAAAAAGGTATTCAAATCTAATTTGCGGGCATTCTTTTGAAGCGCAAAAAATTTCCTAAGATTTTTCATATAAAATTTAAATGACTTTTTTCCTGCAATACCCACACTTTCACTTCAGAAAGCCCAGGACTTAAGGTTGATACTAGTTCAACATAAACAATGTTATCTTAGAAAAGTGATTTAATAAATAAAGAACATGCAAAACACAAAAATGCAAAATTAGCTTTATACAAATGTAAATATAAATAAATAATAAAAAAAAAATTTGAATTATCAATAAAAACACATTCTGGTAAAAAAAATTTTAACTTTCTAAATATTTAATTTTTCTCTAAATAGAAAAATTAATTTAAAAAGAACTTTATAAATAATTTTTATTTGGGGAGTAAAGAATTTTTTTTTTAAATTGTTAGACATAGTAAAATTAGATCATTATCAGTATACTATACCTAGCAAATGGATCATTGCCACCACCAAAAGCATCATTTTTTAACCCTTCTTCTCCATATTGGTCATAGGTCTTTCGTTTTTCTTCATCTGAAAGAACCTATTAATTATAAAGGCTATTAGAAAAGCTAATAAAAAAGGAAACACATTTTAATTTTAACAATTGTATTCAGCATCATAACATTGTCTATCATTGAAACCTATATTTTTACATATTGGAAAGCTTTTGAGAAATTACACTTTTTTGAATATATTCTATTGCTAATAAACACAGCTAACTTAGATAGTCTAACAGCATGTGACGCTGTGATTTTTTAAAATTTCATTTGCAACTTTTCTAAAAATTATTTTCCCACACGTATATTTCATTCAGCACATTTAAAAATGTATTAATACAACTAAGTTTTAACGATTGAAGTGCAACATTTAATAATATCTCCTCTTAAAAAAAAATGGCTTGATATTTTCAAAATTCTTCCAATTAATCATTATTTTCCCCAAGATAAAAATTTGACTGAAAGAAATTCACTACCAAAGCATTTTAGATAAATTTAAATGACAATTTAAGAAATTCGTTTCCATTTCCAACAATGGTAAAAAATGAAGTTTTATAAAAGAAATAAAATAAAATTTTGAATGTGACTTTTAGATTTTTATTACTACAGATTCAAAAAAAAAATTTATTTAACAAAAACTTTTCAAATCTGAGTTGTTTTAAACTGTAGGCATATAATTGTTATTAAAAACTGAATAACACCTCTCTGATGCACAAACTTTTTTTTACTATAGTATTACCTGTATAATATACACAAACATGCATTCATCTCCATTGCATAATTTTTTTTTTCTATTACTAAAAAAATAAAAAAGGGGAAGTTTATGTTTTTTTCTACCAATCTAAATGCAAACATTCATGATTTAAACTGTGTTTTATATTCACATGATTTAAAAGCCACTATTATGATTAGAGTTCAAGTGACTTAAAAATCATACATCCGAATTTGCATTCAAGCGATTTTAAAATAAAACATCAAGATTCATATTCACACAATTTTTGATTATATAAAAAGATTCTTATTCGCATGATTTAAAAACACTCAATGAGATTCATATTCGCACAAATTTAAAAAAATAAATAAAAAATCACATCAATATTTTTATTAAGACATTCATGACATCCTGTGGATAAATATTTCTTGCTCAAATTTCAGGTATTTTTCTATTAGTACTTAAGTTTTTGGTACGACAATGCGCGACCACATAGGGCTCTCATGGTTGATGAGTATCTGGAAAGCGAGGATATTCAACGAAAGGATTGGCCAGCCAAATCCCCTGACCTGAATCCTATTAAACATGCTTGGGATGCTCTTGGGATAGCTATTGCGATGCGTCAACCTCCCCCCAGAACCATTATGTAGTTAAAAATTGCTCTGGTGCAAGAATGGGAGGGTCTTCCACAAGTCCTCCTTAACTCTCTTATTAACAGCATGCATACTCGTTGTGCATGCTGTCTGTCTGTCTGTCAGGGTTGACCATACACCATACTAGAGGCAACACACACTGCACAAGCCTCACTTTTATTGTCATCTTTTATCCTTAAGTTCAGACTACATTGGATTTATTGGCAATAGGTCTTGCTAGTGAATGGCACTTTCATTTTTGTTTTGCATACTTTATTACCATGGAATAAGCTATATCCATACCAAATTTCATTTATTTATATTCAGTAATTTTTGAGATATTTAGGAAAACGTCTTCCATCTCTTAATTTTGTCCACGAGTGTAGTTATAATATGAATCAATATGTGGTATGAAGTTCCATAAAAAATGAAACAATTTTTAGAAAAACTGTTAAAAAGTTACACTCATGAATTAGTAAAGAGTTGGACACTTTTTAAAAGCTAAATGGATAAATGTTGAAGTTCAATTTTCATCTTAATCAGTTTATGATGTATCACAATTTCTTTATTTTGACATTTTTCTAGCTTCTATTCTTTAACTATTAAATAAATTTTTTTTTCATTGAAGTAACATTAATTTATATAGCTTCAAGTAGAAAAGTGATTTATAGTCTCTCCAATTGTCTGTATATTATAAGTATATTTGCCTGAGTTTATCTATGATTCGGTCAATCTGAGAATTTCATTACGCAAAATGGGAATTCTCACCCCCTCCCAATATATATATGTCTGTAGTATTCCTGTTTTCGTTGTACGTAGTGAGTGGGGGCTTGAGGTAGTTGCTGGCAGTCAAATAAACCATTAATATGTATATGCAAAGGTGCACATGAATTTTTTGCGGCTCAAATACCTCTCATTATGATTGTGTACAAGTTTGCTAATAGAGATACCAGTGTAGCAAATGCCCACTTCATTTGATCAGAGTCACAATGGTGGGACATGCTTAACCTTTTTAAAATATGAGCATGGTTGTAAATATATTTCTGTAAAATACAAATAAATTCAAGTTTGGAAAATTTCAATATCAGTTTACATGCCAAACTTTTAACCAATCATGTAGCAGCTAAATTAAAACTTTAAATTTTCCCTAGTTTAAAATCTCTTTAGTACCTTGGCAAATGTAGAAAGTACTGTTGAGTTTAAAAATACATGAAACTATAAAAATCTAAAAAGAAACCTCATATGCAGCTCCTAAATCTTGAAATTTATCTTGTGCATTAGGATCATCAGGATTTTTGTCAGGATGTAATTCTTTTGCCATTTTTCTATATGCTTTTTTAATTTGATTTAAAGAGGCTGACCTGGATACTCCTAGTATGGCATAGAAATCTCTCCTGAAATAAAAATAGTAAAGAACTTATAGATTGAAATTTTACGAATCATATCTAATAAATAAAATTTATATCATACTATATAAATTCAATAATAAACAGTTATCTGTGTTTAACCTTTATAACATTAGGTAAACATTCATAAGTACAAATTTTTCAATTTCAAATTTTTTTAAAAAGTGCGGTTACTTCTTGGTAACGCTAAAATTTCAAAAATCACAGTGCAAAGAGATTTGCCTTCTTAAATTCAGTGTTTATCATAAAATATATATATAAACCAAGTTATCACAAAATATACATTGAGAAATCACAATAATTTTAAAAAAAACTAAAAAATTCTCCTTGTAAAAATTATAAAATCAATGATTTTTACTAACATATTATCATTATACACGAAAACATTAATGATTCATAAACTTCAAAACAGTTTAATTATGTCAATAAATAAGTCATGTCATTTTACTCACCCTCCAAAAACTTGTGAAATAAATAAAAATAAATTAATTAGGGAAAAAAAACTCAAAAATATTTGTGTATTCATTTTATTTTTTTCTATTAAGCATTATTTACAATTTGTCAGCCTCTTATTGCTCGATGTGTAGTTTCAGATTTATTACAGCTTCAGAAACACCGCACAACGTACTTTAACAGTTGCAGTTAAGCTAACTAACACGTCACTCTCAGAATCAGGGAAGAGTTTACAGTAATAATCTCACTAATCATTGGCTTCATATAAGCCAATTGAAAAATCCGGAAAGCGATTAAAATTTCTTTAGTGCAACACTTCCGTGAAAAGTAGCATCATCGATCGAACAATCGTAACTTTCATCGAATAAAAATCATAATAAACAAAGAACTTCAGCCTTTTTAAACTTATATAATTTGCGTCTTCCTAATTTTTTTAAAAAAATATATGTGAAACATTTTAAAATTACAAAATGTTTAATCATTGTCACACATTTTTATTTGATGGGGCTTTTCTTTATGAGGAATAAAGAATAAAAAAAATCTCCGAAGTTTCAGTGTTTTGAAAGTGGTTACAAATTTGGTCAAGGTAACTAATTTCTTTATTTTTCTTTAATGAACCTTATTTAAAAAAAAAATTACGAAATTGCATGCGCTCAATCGTGGCGTGAATGTCATTATACTCGTTAATACGAGTTTAAATATTTCGTAACTAAACGTCTATCCTAGTAAAAGCTAATAATCTAATCATCATCTAATAAAATCTATATCCTAATAAAAGCTTTTTCATCTTAGTTATTTCATTCGTACATTCCGTTTAGTTCGGTTTTTTTAATATTTAGTTAGATGTGTAACACGATTTCCTTCCATAAAGAGAATTAAGACAGTGTTATGGAAATCTTAGTGAACAGATTTCCCAAAGTTAGTAAAATAATAGTGGGTGCAAAACATTTTTGAGAAGAAAATATATAATTTACTTTCGAGTAATCAATTTTCATAACATTTGTAAAGAATAGCATTAGAAAACTACCTTTTATTTTAAGCATAATTATTATTTAACTTTTTTTACATGAATTATCATATCGTTTGCGTATTTTTAATCTTTTTTGGAATTATATTTTTTGTCTTTAATATAGCCCCCTTCAAATTGTTCTGACAACGCTATTTAAAAACAAAACGATAAGTTTCATCTAAAGACAGAGCTCATTCTAGACGGGGTGAGTTAGTGCCCTTATGTTATAGACTCCATTCCCTTTGTGCCCTTTCTTTCCTCAACTTTTCTTCATTTTTTCCCTAAACTCTACAGTGAATTTCTTAAACTTTTGTTATTTTCAATTCTTTTTGTTTAGTTAGTCATTGCTGTCAATACATAGATTTATATGGGAAAGGAAAAATATTCATCACGCCTTCTTGTTGCACTTATCTTTGAAAGTTTCCATTTACTTCCACTATCCTCCAGAGCTGAGAAGTTCAATAGGGGCCTTTCAGTTGTCCAGCAGGAATTTATTAGTGGGGGGAGAGGGATAAAAATGAGTTTCTCAAATTCTAGGTGTACTCTTCTCCCTAAAAGAACATAAATATTTTTTTTCTCAAGCAGTGTTCTATTGTACGGGGAGGAGATCATCCTTCTGGTAAACCAGAACTGTCTTTTGGAAAACTCACAGCTTTAGCAAGCAATCAAAATTCTTATGACTGTACCTAAACTACCATAAATTCAGGAACACCACTTACAATTCAACTAAACTGAACTTCACAGAACAAAATATCACTATAAAATATGTTCATTTGAGCAGATTTTAGGTTCAGGCTTATCTAAAAAATGGTGGAAATAAAAATAGACCATCATTAAATTTGTTTTTATAGTTTCTTAAATTAGTTTAATATAATATTGAGGGAGAACTGAGTAAGATGTGCTTCATTAAATTTTGTATGCTATTTTTTAATTAATCTTTTCAATGTATATTATTTAATTTAATGTTGCCTTTTTAATTATGTTTTTATACTACTTAAAGCGCCTATAATAAAATTAATGACTGGAAAGTTAATTATTTATTAAATCATAATTATGGTTAATCATTTTAATTATTAAATCATAACTACAGGCACTTAAAAACATACATTTATTATTTTATTGATATATGCATGCATTTTAAATAAATTACTAAGCTAATTAGCTCATTAACTTGATTTATATGTTAATTTATTAGTAAAAATTAGTAATGAATATGATTGCTTTGCTACTTTTTGTTAAGAAAAAAGTTTTTTTTCTGTTACTAATTGACAATGTTTTTTAATAGTATGTGTAATGCCCATAGAAAGAAATTATTGCCTTTTTTGAATAATAATACCCTTTTTTTAAACTTTTGCACCCTGCCCTTTTTTCTGCCTAGAATGAGCTCTGCTTAAGCGAACAGTGGAGATATTTATTCTATCTTTCTCTTTTTCTCAGAAATGAATGATTTTGTGTAGAATTCTTACGTTTTGAAAACAAACTTTTCATTTCAACGTAAAATATTATCCAACGCAGTTATTTTTTCTTTTTAATAAAAATTAATATAAAAAGTCATTACAAATTTTAAGGACTAGATTCGTGCTTTTAAAAATTGAATAATCAAACCACATTCAAGAGTAATGTTCCCTAAGTTTATAAAAATCATAAATTGTATTTTATTATTTTTTAAGATTTTAACTTTTTTATTTTAGTATCTTTTTGCCAGCTTTCCCATATTATTTATTTTGCATTGATGCATTAAAAAAAAAATTTATATCAAATATGAATTAGAGTTGTTAGATAGTTTCTAATATTTTTTTTAAAAATAATGTGTCTTTATTTTTTAGACATTATCTGATAGTCTATTTAGCTTCAATGTCTATCATTAGTGACAGTTCCCAAGAAGCTTCTAATGCTGCCTTAGGGGCCAATAATACACCTGGTAAAATTCTTATTTTTATTATTTTTATTTAAGCTTGAACAGACTTTTACTTAATTTTATCCAGAATTTCAAAATATTATTAAATAATTTATTCTTATTTTACAATTCTTAACCTTTTGCTTATGGCTAGTACAACAAGTGTACCAGAATTACAGGCTTTAATATGCTAAGTGTCATAAGCAAAAGGTTAATAAGTTTCATATTAATTTTTTAACATTTACAGTGTTTTCATCATAGAAAAAAAAATGGGTGAGAATTTCTCATCAAAAAGCAGGGTGAGATTTCAAAAAGTTAAGTGAAATTTCTAAAAACTAAAAAAACACAAAAACTCTTGAAAAAAAAATCATTTCCTTAATTATAATACATTTTTAATGTCTTCTATTTTTTAAAGCATTGAATATTTTTGGTGCATCATCATAGAAGATTTTGCCTTTACGAGGTATTTGTCCATCTTACATAAGTGCATAAAAATTTTTAACGTCTTACATGAAGAAACCTTACCTACAGTAAACACGTAGTTGCAGAGAAATGTGTTCTGAAAAGGGTTCCTTGGTTGTGTTCTGTTGTTCGAAAATGTTCTGAACAATACTGGTAAATAGGGAAGTGCGATAACGGGGCAGATGTTGAAAATAATGAAAGAACCAGGAAGAAAAGTGAAACGGACTTTATCCTAAATGGCGTAATTTGAAGCTTTTTCCAAAATGCGAGAAATTCGCGAGTTCTGAAATTAATTTATAAAATGCGCGAATTTCTCGTAGTAATAATTTTTTAATGTGAGAAAAGAAAAAATATGCGAGATTCTCGCGTTCTCGAGCTGTAGTGAAAACACTGATTTAATTAGGAATTATTTGTATGTGCATGTATATTGATGTGTAATTTAACAGAGGATATTCTATATTTTTTTAATTGTAAGACTTTTTCACTTTATCTGTTTCTATAGTTTCCTCTCCGAATCTTTATATCAAAGCTGAAACTTCCGATATTCCACAAGTGAATGTATTTAGAAACACTCCTGACTTGCTAAAAACAAGTAATACAGCCACTGATCAAGCTCAAAAACGAAGAAGTTCATCAAGATCAATTAAAAGAAAGAAATTTGATGATGAACTTGTTGAAAGTAGTTTAGTTAAAACTAGTCGCCCTCGGCCGCAAAATGTGGCCTTTCCACTTTTGTCGGCTGCCATTTCCCTATCATCTCCCACTGTTGCTGCGCCACCTAGCTCTGCTACCACTAGTCAAGCTCAACCTGAAATTTCTAATGTACCACCAGTTGAAAAAAGAAAGGTAATTATTTCAATTTTAAAGGGTGTTAACTCTTTATGATGATTTTAGTAAACTGCATATGTATTTTTTCTTCTTTATTTCAGCCTAGACCTAATCCAAAACGAGTAAAGAAACAGAAGGTAATTTAAATTATTTTGTTCTCTTTTTAATACAAATGAACTATTGATATTTTTTTCATGCTTACTGGATGTACAGTCCGCAAAAAAAAAAAGATATCACCCTGAATAACTTTCGTTCTAATGATCTGATTTTCACGAACTAAGTGTTAATCTTAATGGTTCCTGGGGGTGACCTCAAATATGCTAATTAATTAGTGCTAACTATTAATTAAGTTACGAAATCAGACACAAAAACGTACTTTCTCTGAATAAACATATATTTTTTCTTACATATTTGGATTCTTAACCTTCAAAATATAGGGGGTAGCCGCAATCTGGGAAATATGGTCCCCATAGTTTGGTCAGGAGAGCGAT